TGCGGAGGGCGGAGGGCGGAGGGCGGGGCGAGTGACCCGCTCCCCTCCGCCGTCTCACCCCTCCAGGGTTTATGACCCGCGAGGAGCGCAAGAAGTTTGAGAACTTGAACTCATCCTACAACAAGTATTGGGTGCCCTGCGTCTGGTTCTCTAACCTGGCGGCACAGGCCCGGCGGGAGGGCCGCATCCGGGACAACAGCGCCCTTAAACTGCTGCTGGAGGTGGGCTCGCCAGCTGGCCATTCATACAAAACACCAGAGACAAAACACCAGACGACGAGCCACGCGCCTCCCACGAGGCCGATTCCAAACACCCTTCCCTAGCAGCCCCCAGGTGCACAGCTATCTCATGCCCCCCCCCCCAGGGGTACACTCACCACTAAATACTCTCCCTGGAGCCCCCAGAAGCACACGGTGACCACTCACCTCCATCCCAAGTACCCACACTTAATCCCCACGTGTGAGCTCACCAGCCAGGCCGGCTCATGACTTGCATCTGCCCCCAGGAGCTGACTGTGTTTCGGGGCAAGTGTTCGATGCTCTTTCACTACGACTGGATCAGCATACCCCTCGTCTACACCCAGGTAATCCCGCAGTGCCTCCTCATAGACCTGAGGAGACGCACTGGTCTCAAGGGGACATGGAGGACCAGCTAAGACCCCGTCACAGTGACTCCTGACCCTAGCCCTGGTCTCTCCGAGAACCCGAGGCCAGGAGAGCCCTGACCTGGCCACCGCTGCCCCCAGGTGGTGACCATCGCAGTGTACAGTTACTTCCTGGCCTGCGTCATCGGTCGCCAGTTCCTAGACCCTGCGCAGGGCTACAAAGACCACAACCTTGACCTGTTTGTGCCCGTCTTCACTCTGCTGCAGTTCTTCTTCTATGCCGGCTGGCTCAAGGTGGCTGGGGCCCTGAGCCTGGGCTCCGGGAGTGGGGCGGGCAGGGGCTCTCAGGTCTCTGCTTACCTCCCTTCTCCCCACTCAGGTGGCAGAGCAGCTCATCAACCCCTTTGGAGAGGACGACGACGATTTTGAGACCAACTTTCTGATCGACCGCAACTTCCAGGTGAGACTCCCTTGAGCCCAGACCCAGGCTCCCCAGGTGGCCCTCACCCCTGCCACGACTTGCCCAGGCCTCGCCTCTGAACCATCCTTCTCCCCTTGGCATCACACTCCTGAGGGCCCGTGCCTCGGTGCCCGTGCTCTGCTACCCCGCCTAGCACGTGTCCACGGCTGCAGGTGTCAATGCTGGCCGTGGACGAGATGTACGATGACCTGGCCATGCTGGAGAAGGACCTGTACTGGGACACAGCGGAGGCTCGGGCCCCCTACACTGCGGCCACCGCCTTCCTGAGGCTGCAGCCCTCCTTCCAGGGCTCCACCTTCGACATCACGTGAGCCAGCGAGGGCGGGGGACAGGGGCGGGGCCTGCTGGATGCTCGGCTTATGGCACTGTGGGGACTAATTGAGAGGAGTCTATGGGACCCCACAACAGGGCTAACGGCTAAACTGGAAATTTGGGGCTAAGAGCTAAAGTCTATGAGGAGAGTGATTGTGGTCAAGGTCTGGGATCAGGCCACTAATTGGGGTCAGAGCTAAGGGCCAAGGTGTGTGAGGACTGGATGGGTGGTCAGAGGCGATACAATGCCACAACTAAGGCTTTGAGGCCTAAGTTTGAGCAGAGCCAGAGGACAAGGCCTGGCTCTTGGGTGAGCGGCCACAATTTTTCGGGATGAGCGAGACAAATGGGTGAGTGCAGCCAGGAAAAGCAGTGGGCCTCGGTCCCACCTGTCAACCAAGGAGAGGGGCGAGGTAGCAGGGCTGACCCCCTGTCCGTCCATCCCACAGGCTGGCCAAGGAGGACATGCAGTTTGAGCGGCCAGACGGCGCGGACTTGCCTCTGGGCGAGGCGCATGGCGATTTCTTGCAGCGCCTCCTGCCGGTGGGCCCGGGCATGGCTGCAGGAAGCCAGCTGGGCCGGCGCCTGTCCGTGTTGCGCCGACCTCAGGGCTAGACCCCCGAGCTCCCAGCCCAGGTGGCCAGCCTGCCGGGTGTTGCTGCTGCGGGCTCCATGTCACTCCTCTTCCCACAACCTGGGCCCACAAGCCCCTGCCCCGTGTCCCCAGCGAGCGCCCCTTCCCGGCTCTGCCGCAGGCTTCTACGTGAACCTGGTGGTGCACCGCTGGTGGAACCAGTACCTCTGCATGCCGCTGCCCGACGCGCTCATGTGCATCGTGTCG